ATCAATGACCTCAGTTTTGAAAGTGGATAACAGCATTTTCACTAAATGTTCGTGATGATGAACTTAAACACACTCAGATATACAGATGGTCTCCAACTTATAAGAGTTTGAATTATGATTTTTTGACTTTAAGATGGTGCAAAAGTGATAGATATTTAGTATAAACTACTTCAAGTACCCATAAAACTATTCTGTTTTTTATTCTCAGTATAGTATTCAAGAAATTACATGAGACATTCAACCTTTTATTATAAAACAGATTTTATGTGAGATGATTTTGTCCAACTGTAGGCTAATGTAAGAGTTCTGAGCATGTTTAAGGTAGGCTAGGCTCAGCTATGATGTTCGATAGGTTAAGTGTATTGAGTAATTTTGACTTATGGTATTTTCAACTTAGGATGAAGTTACTGGATATAACCTCATTGTAAGACTAGGAGTGCCTGTGTATACACAGGCAGCTCTTCTTTTGTACAGCACTGTGTTAACTAAAATGTGTGCCAATCTGAGCTTGTCCTCATTTTGTATAGTCCCAATATGCACAGGTTTCAGTTAACATGGAACCTTACAAAAAGAAAGGGTTGCCTGTAGGTACAAAACATTCTGGTAAAGTACTTGGGTTAGAGCAAATTCTTAAAAGTAGTACCCTTATTATTACATCAGGGAACCACCGCCCCCCCATTTTTTACAACTACTGTAGCTCTTTGTCATTCTCCAGCTTCTCTTTCTGAACATTTTCAATGATGGTGCGATCAGTATTTCACTGAGCAGACCACACTCTAGTTCTTGTGTTAATTCTACCTCCTGATAATTTGTACTCATTTAATCCTGGTTCTGCTATCAGCGGCTACATAATTCATGTCGCATAATTCAAAGGTGACATCTCCCAGAGCTAATAAATTTTCTAGAAGATTCCATTTCAGAACCCTGTATGGCGTCACTAGCAGAATGGCATCTCTTTCACCCAAAGTCTCAGTTTTAGTCTTCAATCTCTTGGATGAGTGGTTGAGTTACAGAATTCAGAGGTATCCCAGTTGCTTGAAAGCTTCATGGTAAGGGAGGCCCTGCAAGGAGAAGGGTCCATGAGAGTCAGGAGTCTGTACACTAAATATACCTATTCCTTTGAGGGGTCCTAAGATCTAGGTGTCACTGAGATGCTCTCAGTCAGATGTATAAATTAGCATCCTGGTTTCATCACCTGCCAGCTTTGTATGTTTGGGCAATTTACGTAATCTGTCTCAGTTTTTCTAGATACGAAAGGGATGATAATTGTTATTTTACAGACTTTGTTGTGAAGTTAAAACAAGATAATTTTACACAGTAGGCATATAATATATTTTAGCCATCATTATTATTAGGAGTACAAATGGTTGTTTCATCATTGAGGGGACTCATGGCATTTATACTATTTGGTAGATGAAATTGCTCCGATTCCCTTTCAAGAATCAGTTAAGTCACTTTGCTTAAGATCATTCCCCTTTCTGGGGCAGCTCACATCCAAGTATTGGTAACTATGAGAGGATAGCCTTGCCATCTTGGGGCAACTTGGGGCAAAACTGAAGGTCTCTTCTTGCCCCATGGCTCCCCGTGAGGTTGGCAGAGGTAGTTGTTGGGACTGTATCTCAGCTCATCTTATTGCTCTGCCAGATCCTGCTTCATTCGTCTCCAGTTCACAGGGGCTGATCCTAAGTGTGCTTCTTAATAAGTACCCTGCACACTAAACTCTACTCCAGAATCAACTTTAGAGGGAACACCACCTGTGACAATAGGATGTGAAAACAAATCAGTTTCTCATCCAGATGTTACACTCTATGGCCTAAGATCTTTGAGCAGAGCTCTCCTTAAATCAGTTATTCGTGTACTCTATGGTGCTTTGAAGTCTTAGTGACTTGGTAGTTCTAGGAAGTGTCCAGCTTCTGGGCATTTTGCCAGAGCCTTGGCAGCCAATCATATTTTAAGTAAAGAGGATAGCATCATAGGAAGGCCTTGACCATCTGCCTGGAAACTCTCTCTGTGGCCTTGTGTCTGATGTAAGTATGACATTGGCAACCCAATCAGTGACAAATACTCTCTGTCCTGGTGACGGTCGTTTGACCCTGCTGTCTGGGTCGTAGAGGTCTGGGAGCAGGGCAGAAGACAGAGCTTAGGAAAAGTTCTCCGAGGTGCTAGAGAGAAGTTCCAAATGTTTTCCCTATGAAGAGCACAGATTTGTCCATTGGTAACAGGTTTTTTATAGATAACACAGATCTCAAATGCACTTTTTTTCCTTTTCAAAGAAATACAATTGTTTTAATCTTGCAGTTTCAGACTCTTGTCTACTGTATTATAATTTTTCATACACTGCCTACAGAAATTTTTAGCCTTGCATCCATAAGTCTCTTTTGTACAATATTAATTTATCTAAGTTAAGAGTCTTGAAGTAATTTCAACAATGGATTGTTCTCTCACTAGTTGACAATTAAAAAAACTTCAAAGAATGAATATATGGGTAAATATTAAAGAAACACAAACTGATCAATTCATATGGCAGCCAGAGTGATTTTTTTTAGAACACATACTTTGATTAACATTTCTCACTACTTTTCTTATTATGCCTAAAAGATTCTGCATAATCTGTAGTTGTTTATTTGTTCAGCTTCACACCATTCACCACCCTCTCTCTCCAACATACAGAAACACAACATATGCACAAATACACACACATACTCATTTTTCAATTATTAATAGTTTTAGATAAAGATCAAATGTAGCACTGTACTTTGGAATATGGTATAGTTTTCTTTAGTCTATGAAGGAATTTTAAATTTTGTTCCATTTTTATTAAATATATTTTTTTTTTATTTCAGCAAGTTATGGATGTACAGATGTTTAGGTTACGTGTGTTGCCCTTGGTTTCCCCCCCACCGAAGTCCGTGTTTCAAATATGTCCATCCTTCGGGTAGTGCGCATTGTCCTCCTTGTGTATACAAATACCCGTCCCCTCCTTCCTCCTCCCCCCTCCTCCCGCCGCCCTCCCCCTTCCCCAGCATCCAATAGATGTTGTTCTGATATGTGCATTTATGTGTTGATTAGTTAATACCAATTTGATGGTGAGTACGAATGGATCCCGTTCTTCTGCTCTTGTGGTGCCCCACTTTGGATAATGGGCTCAAGTTTAATCCAGGAACGTGTAAGTGGTGCTAGATCACTGTCATTTCTTATGATTGAGTAATATTCTATTGTAAACATATACCAAATTTTGAATATCCACTCATGGATTGACGGGCACTTGGGTTGTTTCCACATTCTTGAAATAGTGAATTGTGCTGCCATAAACATTGGGGTGCAGATGTCCTTATCGTAGAATGTTTTGTGCTCTTTTGGGTAGATGCCTAATAGTGCTATTGCTGGATCGAATGGTATTTCTATTTTTAGCTCTCTGAGGTATCTCCAAATTCTTTTCCACAGAGGTTGCACTAATTTGCAGTCCCACCAGCAGTGTAGAAGTGTTCCTGTCTCTCCACATCCTCACCAACATTTGTTGTTTTGTGTTTTTTTGATAGAGGCCAATCTCACCGGGATTAGGTGATACCTCATTGTGGTTTTGATTTGCATTTCTCTAATGATTAGAGATGTTGAGCATTTTTTTATATGTTTGCTGGCCATTATTCTGTCTTCTTTTGAAAAGTTTCTGTTCATTTCACTTGCCCATTTGTTGATGGGGTTGTTTGATTTTTTCTTGTTGATTTTTTTGTGTTCTAGATAGATTCTGGTTATCAGTCCTTTATCAGATGTGTAGAGAGCAAATATTTTTTCCCATTCTGTGGGCTGTCTATTCACTCTAATGATAGTTTCCTTGGCAGTGCAGAAGCTTTTTAATTTGATTAGATCCCACTTATTTATTTTTGTTGCTGCGGCTATTGCTTTGGGGGTCTTCTTCAAGAATTCCTTACCAATATTTAACAAATTGATAAAACTGCACTCTATCTGGTATCATGTTAAAAGGGGCCTCTAATTTCTTTTAAATTATCAAAATATATCATTGTATAAATTGGTTTTACATGTAGGCATATCCGTAGGTAAACTGATACATTAAAGTTATTACTTTACTTATTGCCTTGATGTTTCCTTCTTTGGAATTATTCTTTTACTTTAGGGGAGCATAATTTTGATGAGTTGCTATACCAAGTCCAGGAAGGGTTGGAGGAGAAGCCTACAGGCATGTTTCTTTATATTGTCTCTATAGGCCCTGGGCTATGATGGGGAATTCAGTAATGAAGTAGGGATATTAGAGACATTTCTGAATCTGCATTGTTCCTCTTTGCAAAGCTATACATCACTTTTGAATATGGAGGACAGGTTAAATTCAAGCCAACTCCTCTCTCAAATCAGGAATTCCTAGATGTAATTCTAAGACAGAAGGAACTTTATGAATTACTTCAAATTCTGGTTTGTGTGATAATTTAAAGCACTACTATAAACAACTTAAGACAATGTATCCAGGTAAGGAGAGAAGATCTTTCCTTTTTTTTTTTGGCTCACTGGCTTTTAAGGTGTGATTTAATTTAAAAAAAGAAAGAAAAGAAAAAGAATTGTAGCCAAATGGAGTCTGATCACATTTTGCAAATTTCACACACTTGAATGTATCTGTTATGTTTTCAAGGTTCAATATGTTGATTCTGGAAAGGAGTATGAAAAAAAAACTGATAGTTTTTTTTTTAAAAAAAGAAATTGACATCTGTCTAGTTTTTACTTTCAGATTACTTTGATTTTTTAAGTTCAGGAGTATAAAGTATAAACTGAATGGAATTGAAGTTTTGTAAACCGGGTGTTGTACCACTTGATTACTTTGCCTCAAATAACATCAGGTGTGTTTTTAATTTTATAATACTAAAATTATAATGAATGTTTTATACTTTATTACAACATAAGTAAAATGTATCTTGTGTTAGCAATTGTGCTTAAAAATATATTTTGATATTCTGTGAATAAAACTCCTGTTTTAAAACTGTGCTAACATATAGGGTAGAGAAGAATTCTTGAAAAAACTCACTCAAGGTGAAGTGGCTACTGGAATAATGATTCAGGTAATACTAATTTGGTTTCAATATTTTATTCTTCCTTTAATTTGCATTTTACTTAGCATTTTAAATTTGTCCGTAATGAGGCATCTTGTCACTATTTGGTTTGCAAGCCAGCAGTTTTCTCTCCTGAGCTGATGACAGTTGCCCTCTGTGTACAACTAGCAGTGTCCGATCATGCATAAAGAAACTGACCTCCAATACACATATCTCATTTTGTGGCTTAATGGGAATTTCTGCCAGTCTAGTAAAAGGGCAGTGAGATCTTATTCCTAAGTGTCTAACTCTTTAGTTGGCTTTGTGATGATGTCATGTTTTCTTTACTTTTAGTGTCTTTCACTTGAATTTCTTTATTTAACTCTGATAGAAAAATACACTGTGATATTTCTGTATAAAGATTTCAAAACTAAAGCATGTAAACTAGCAAAATAAACTTTAATTTTTTAATCTTTGTCTACTGCTTGCCTATCCTTTGGAACCCAGTTTGGTTTCTTGATGCATGGCATGTTTCTAAAATGCCTCCATTTCAGAAATACATGCATATTTGAAACCAGCATTGTTATTAAAAGAAAAATAAAATTAAGAGTTGAAACAGCTCACAATAGTATTATTTGGGATTATCTGCACCTCTGTTCCTGTTTGAAGCAAACCCAAATTTTGTGATTTTTTTTTTTTTTCTGTTAGGAAATTTGGCATTTGCAAATATAGCAGCAGTATTTCTCTGTTTCTATATGTTTGAAAATACCAAATTTCCTAATTTATTTCTATACATATATGCTTTATAATCTCATTGTCTTCCCAGCCCTTTTTGCTTAATATTTTCCTATTAACTTTGTGTTCCTTGCTTTTATTTGGTCTAAGATAGCAGGACTTGCATATATTCCCAGATGTGGTGTTAACTTATTGTCCTCCAATACTTATTTAAGATTGTTTAATTTTTATTGTCTATTAAAAGTTTTCTCTCATTTCTTCTAATAATAATTATTTTCCCTTTAACATACTGTTTGCTGTTTAAATATACTATATTTGTACCCATTGCTTTTTATGGTAGCATTTAGTATTAGATTTTCAAATAACCACAAAGATTACTGCCTGACACTGAATAGGGACTCAGTAAATGTTTAGGTAATTAATAACTGAATGAATTATTTAAACTCCTTGCTGGCAGAAAAAACTATATTCCATTCATGAAGCGCAGCTACTGGAGAGGCAGGAACTTATGAAACAGAAAGCCATATATGCCCTGGCACTGGCAGAATTAGAGGCACCTCTGCTTCAACTAGAAGAAGAGGCTGCAAGAATCAGAAATATCCACCAAGAACAGTCTGACGTAAGCATTTAATAAATCCAGGAATTAATTTGTAGGAATATTTAGGTTGGTAAATCATCTATGTAATTTTACATTATTATTTGGAAAATTATGATTTCACATGGGAAAAGGATGGACAAACTAAGTATTTCAGGACCACACAACTAATCTACAGTGAAACCATGTAACAAGACAATTAATGCTATTACATAGAACTTCATACTCTTAGAGTCTACTTAGGAAAAGCAGTTTCCAAATGGGTGAATAGTGACTTCTCTGGTGTGAGTGCGCACTATGGTAAACTTAATTCAAAGTCTTCACTGTTCCTTGATGAAATGCTAAAGTAGTGTTTACTTGAATATAAAATGTAAGGCATCTTGACATTTTCACCGTAAATTTTGAATGCACGTAGACGTTTAGACAGTTAGGGTGAAAAATAAAGTAAACGTTGATAAAATATTTTCGAAACTACAAGTTTATGTCAGTAACTGATATTACTAGCCCTTCCCAAAGAAAAATTTAGTAGAAAAATATGTATACATGCTGTCATTAGTCTTTGGAAGAGCTAGAGGGTGTGGCAAGAGTCATACATTTTTGCCCTCCCCTGCAGGGAGGACATACATATATTTATTTGGCAACAGGATTGTTTTCCTCTGCAAAAGATGATGTAACTTTATATTCTTAGTCTTTAATAATTTTCAAAATGCCTTTATTTTTTAAAAAAATTGTGATTGACAAAGTGTTCCAGTTATAACGGTTTATTTTGATCTTCAAAGCCTACTTATGAAATAGGCAGGAGGGAGTTTACTTATATTATAGACTTGAGAGAACTTGGGTCTAAACAGCTAGAGAAACCTATACAAGACTTTAAAGCATGTAAACAACAAATTCTGAGTAGCACTTTATTTGTGGCTTTTAATGCTGTTGTAATGCTCATGTAACAAGTACACAACCAGTACTAACACCTAGTGGGATAAATGATTTTAATAATGGCTCCCCCTTACATTAATGATGGAAATTTATTAATAGCATCAAAAGCCTCAGTGTAACTGACTGAATATGGTAATGAATTCCAGAAAAGATTAATGACTTTTGTTTCCCCTTATTTTATAATAGCCATGGTTTTAAATCTTCTTATAGTTCAGTAATCATTTTTGCTTTTATTTTATTTTAATAGTTAAAAAATTATAAGAATTAGCAATTTAGCACAAACTCTAGGGAAGAATAAGTTTTTACACACTTTTTAATAATGATTGCTAACAATTTGTACTTGGAGTTGTAATTTTGGTTAAAATGTTGTAAATATCATAATAAAAATGTATCATTTCTTTGAAATTTATTAGTTTTTGATAGATTTTTGGTTTTCTGAGGTAATGCAAATAGAATACTGGAATTTGGGATGTTGTAGTATGTTTCTATAATTCATGTGTGGGGTTCTTTCCCTTTACTTACCAAAATAAACACAGTTCTTATTAAAATAGTCATTTAGGTACTATTTGGTCTGAACCAGGATAAGTCGGTTGCAAATCCTGAACATCTTAATACTTGAATGTTTTCTAGGCGCTTAATACAATAATTGAGAAGAAAAGTTATGTTAAAAGACAGGTGGAAAAAACAAAGAAAAAATTGCAAAAAAAGGAGAAGAAAACCCGTCACGCACTAACAAAAACTGAGGTAAGAGATTTAATTTCAAAAAATTATTTTGAATTTATAATTTACTTCAATGAAAACTATTCCAGCAAGTTTAACTTTAGGCAGATGTGTCTCATTTCTAATTAGTTGCATTAAATTAACTCTGTGTATATGCAAATACGCACATGTCTTCATCTACTTTCTCTTATAATGTCTTTCCCATTGGTCTAGTCTATCAGGGCCATAGTCCCAAATCAGGATAAAATGCAAAGCAGAACTGATATTGGATTTGTGCAGAAGTCTACAGCTTTATGTTATTGCCATGTATTGCTTGGAGTTTTAAGGACACAATGAAGAAGAAGAAAAGGGAAAAAAGGGGAGAAAAAAAGAGAAAGAAGGAAGGATGGAGGAAGAAAAGGAATGAAGAGGGAAATTGCTATGGTCTGAATGTTTGTGTTCCCCCCAAATCATATATTGAAACATAATTCTCAGTGCATTGGTATTAAGAGGTGGAATGTTAGAGAGGCGATTAGGTTATTAGGGCTCCCCCTTCATCAATGGGATTAGTATCATCATAAAAGAGGCCCAGGGAAGCTTGCTCACCCCTTCTATTACATGAGGATGCAGCAAGAAGGTGCCATCCTTGAAGCTGAAAGGGATCCCTCACCAGATACCACATTTATTGGCACCTGGTTCCTGGACTTCCCAGCCACTAGAACTGTAAGAAAAAAATTTCTGTTGTTTATAAAGTCCCCATTCTAAGGTATTTTGTTATAGCAGCCTGAATGAACTTAGGCAGGAAGAAAAGAAGGAAAGATGAAAGGAAGAAAGGAGAGAAGGAAAGAGGGGAAACTGATAAAGGAGAGAAGGAGTAAAGGAAGAAGGAAAGAAGAAAAGGAAAAAAAGTTAAACTTAAAAAATAGCACGATTACACTTTTGTTTAATGCATGAAATTTTCTATTAACATGTCTACTATTTTAGCTCCAAATCATCAATCTGACATTTTTAAACTACGAAATATCACATTTAATATAAACGTGCTTGTAAACT